GATTGACGGGTCAGCATTTCATTCAAGAAAATCCCAAAACTGAAACTTACAAAGTTGGAAGAAGAAGGTGTGTGGTGTGTACACAAAACGGAAAGAGAAGTCAGGGACACCGTCTCTCTGCCTAGACCCCTGTTTTGAGCAATAGCACATCAAAGTCAACTACTGGACACTGGATATGGAGAGCTGGGAAAAAGAAATAGCTTGACAAAATGTAAATAGACATTTATAATAATGAACTGTAAACAATTGTAAATATAATATAATTTTTTGGAATTTTTCAAATAGCGATTTCGTTATTTAAAAATATTTAGGTAAATGTCTGCACAAAGCCTTCAATTCTTGCGAAAATAAAGCACCAGGAGGGGTTTAAATGCCCCCGCTTAAATTCACGCTAGATGCATGTAACTGAGCGGACGCATATGGTGCGTCGCACACGCTTGAGGGGTTAATTGACATTTTTCAGTTTTGTGTTGATTTCTATCTTTGATATTTTTCACCATCACAATACTCTCATATAGAGAATTTACCATTATTTTCTTGAAGATACCACCTATAGAGTTCTATTTAAAGAAATGTTCTCCATAAGTGACTCAAATTTTATCAAAATCACTGTAGCCATTTATGATAATAATACATTTTCTTTATATTAGAATGTTCATATTCACTGGGCATGGATCTAGATGGAAAAACTCTCAAATATGGAATATGAATAAAACCCACCTAACCATCCAGATGCTAGTGAGGTGCACATACACAGAGATGCCATGTCAAGAACAATTCTTTCATTGATTTTTCTCTCCATCACAAGAGCTTATCATATTAAATATATCAGGAAAAAAAAAGCAACAAAGAAGGTAGTGTTGTATACAAGATAAACAGGGAAGTGTAAATGTAATATATTATTTTAGATAGAATACTGTCAGCCATTATGTATGGATTGACAAAACAGATATTGCTGATATACATGATGAATTTTAAAAATAGATGAAGTTGAAATATACATTTAATTTTACAAAACAGACAAAGTTGAAATACAGATTTAATTAAAAAAAAAAGACTCAAGTTAATAAATAAACTGGAAATGTAGGAAAACTTCAGATAACTTCACCTGGCATTAAGAATCAAAATTTGTCTTGCACCCTGCATTATATAAACATCTGTGTGCACTTATCCTCTCATGCACTATAGACTGATATATACTGTATATATCTCTTGAACATTCAAACACTCAACACGTATCTCGGCGCATTTTTCTGAAATGAGAAATGATAAAAATTGGCATTCAATTTAAACAATGAAACCAAATGTTTCTGTTTCTCAGTGGTATACTACATGACAATATCTTGAAAAGTCATCCCAAACTGATTACTGAGGTTATATAAGTTCACACTTCATATACCTAGAGTGTAAATCGAACACTGAAAAATATTTATACTGTGTCAGATGTTAAAACATGCAACATATTTGTTCTTTTTGGTTCGTGAGGTGGGGTGAGACTGAATTCACTTGGCATGTCAGCCACTAATTAGCCTATTGTACCAGCCCCAAATGATAAATGAATATGGAGCATTTGGTGGAATGAGCATTTGTAGGGGGAATTGAGATAACCTACCCCAGTGCCACTTTATCCACCACAAGTCCCACATGACTGACCTGGGACTGAACACCAGCCACCATGGTGGGAAGCCGGCAAAACATAAACCATATGGAAAACACTGTATTTAATTGGCAGTGGTGTTAATTACTGAGGATTATACGTTGCAGATTAATCCATATATAAGCCAATGGCTTGTCATTATGCAGAAGTCACTGTTCTTAGAAATTATGGCTAAGTTCACCAAACAGCAAGATGTCCCTATACTCTAACTGACCCTGTAAACTTCACCTTTGTCAAAAATAAATTTCAATTATTGACGGAATGCATATTCAGTAAAAACATAATTTAATGTATGTACAGTTGTATCTCAACCTGTAACTTCCTGACTTAAACTTCCAAGACTATGAACCCATGAAATTAACACCCACTCTAAAATTTTGGACTCAAAACCTGAATTCTGGCTTCTTTAGAGAGTCCAAAACTCCAGCAACCATATTTCTTGTTTCCGCTGCCAAGCTGAGCACCTTCCAAAATCTCCCACAAAGAGACATGTTCTTCCTGAATTCAATAAGGCGCTGCAAATGTCATATTTTGATAACATGTTAATTTAATTGTTTATAAAGTTTGTAAATGCTCTGGTAGCTTAAACTGTAATTCTCAATGACAAATGCCTTAAGGCTATGGTGGTCTGAAACATAGCCATTAACAATCCATGGTAAAATTTCTATATGTATAATATAAACTCTGTCGTAAATGTAACACTTTATTGTAGTTCTTGTCCCCCCTCTATTACACTACATGTTTCGACCGCAACCAGCCATAATTAGGTGTATTTCACTTCATGTAGCTGTCACACTGCACTCAATATTAACATTTAAACTCCAGATTTACAATTGTTCATTGCTCTGTTGTCAATATGTAACAGGATGCTTAAATATAATATAGTAAACCATGGTAAAATGTTAAATAACTTATTTATTAATATTTTAATAGCCTAAGTGTTTAATACTATATTATTTGATGTCCCTTTACTGATTTTTATAATAATACAATCAAGTTACAGTGTATAACAGTTTAAAATATTGTAAAATAGGCCTGAGCCTTGAGCTACTGGAAACTAACCCTATATGTCCCAAGTTATAATCAACCTGACTTATGACATTTTACTTACAAGCCAATTTTGGGACCACTTTAAGCTGTGATTCCAAGGTATAACTGTATTGGAGTGGACCAATGGAGTAGGCCAATTTATAGAAACTGTAGCTAGAAATTGCAATTATTTATCTGGAAGGTTCTGGCATCTTGAGATCATTCAGAATAATGTGTGAATGATTATTAACATAAGGGAAGATTACAAAGTGCACATGGGAGAAATGGAGTCTGTACTGATAATAATAAAATAATTACTATTCAAATATATTAAATGCATGTCACTATTTATTATCTGATGGCCAAATCACTCAACCACCTTGTCCATTCTGCGAATGAAAAAATTTATCTGTTATTTAATGGAGAATTATGCACTGGTCATTACTTTGACACTGCCTCTAGACAGCAGTAGCATTTCACGCATACTGTTATTTTATCAAGTTTTGTGGGGCCCACCCAGCCTCCTGTCCAAAGAGTTCCAGGGCTCTTTCCCAAAGGGTAAAGTGGTGGGGGTGTGAAGCTGACTACTCATCTCCATTTAATGCCAATTAATCAAGCACAGGGGGAGAACTTTACCTTAACCATGTGTGTGTGTGTATATATAGAATACACACATACACATACACATATGGAAAAATCTCTTCCAAAAAAATGGGCTTTTCCCCATTATCGTTGTCAAAACATGCAATTTGTAAGGGTCCCTATTTTCTTCCATAAATTTCTGCACCTTCCATATTGGCCTTTTGCTTCTGAAACTATTAAGACTGGCAGTCTTTAAGGTATCATTAACTATGAATGTGAAATGGAATTCATGCTCTTTGGTTTTGCCAGGTAAGACTGGCTATAGCACACTGACTGGTAAGAAAAAAGTCTATAGCTTTGTGGCAGGCTTAAGATCAAGAATTTTCAGTGTTTTGTAGTAACAAAGGCATTAGTATGCTGAAAATGTAATGCAATTGGCTATACCTAGAGCCAGCCCATAAAATAACATTCACATGGCAGCACAGTATACCACTGCAAACAAAATATGAACTCAATACAAATATTATGTTTCTGGACATTATCCATCGTCCTGTTTTATTTAAACATTTTGATTTTTCAAGCAGATCTTGTGTCAGGTTATATTTGTGCTCCTTAATGCATTCTTCTAAAGGTATGCTTGTTTCGCTGATGTAATATCTGCCGCAATCACATGGGATATTCTTCATCTTGTAACATTGTGTCTGCGTTATGTCAGAGGGCGTCCCCCCCTTTCTTACTACCTTCCCCCTTCCAATGTGCCACTTCCTGGTTCCCATCGGCTGAGGTCCACTGTGAGTGTTCCATTCTGTTGTGGGAGCTTGAACTGTTCAGTCGATTCACTCTTCTCCTGGTCTGTACAATTGTGATTAGTTGATTGTCAGAGGCCTATTACCTCCAGGGACTTACATTATATTCGCATTTAGTATTTAATATATATATATATATTATCATTTGATATATTTATTATAGTGTCTTTGAGTTGGTACATCCTACCCAAAAACCAAATTTCAGTCTTCAAGATCTTTTCACGTTTCAAAGTGGCAGCAGAGCATGGTTTGGTTTTTGGGATCTTTTGGTCATTGCCCTAGTTTTCTGTTTTCTTGCAGTTGTTTTCATTATGACTACAGAGCCAGTAGTGCCTGAGTACTTGCATAGGGACGAACTAGAGTATGAGCTCGCTGTTCGAGGGGTTCCTATTGAAGAGTTGAATGTGGCTGCATTGAGAGTGTTGTTCATGACCTCGCGCGATGTTGAAGTGAATGCCAAGCAGTTCATCACTACGAAAGGTTTGAAGGAAACACCAACTATTCTTTCCTTTTGTCAGGATAATTTTTGCAAATCAAAGAGTTGGTGGAAATACGGACAGTTCCCATGTTTTTGTTGATTTCCCTCGTTATTTACATTGACTTGCCCATCTTGGTACTCGGCTTCGCAATCTGTTCCAGTTTAGAAGAATAACACCCAAGTTGGAGTCTTCCGCCCTAACATTGCGTGAGTAAGTGCAGTCACTTATGGTAGAAATCAACAGCAATTTGCAGAGTGAGGAGCATATGTCATCAGTACCACTGCTCGCTGCAAGTATGATCAATTTTCACAACGCTGAAGGTAGGGCCGAATCAGCTGTTGTATTGTCTGCCAGTCCACACATGGAGCATTTGACCCCTTCCCCTCTTCTTGTCGTGGATCCGGCCAGTCAATGAAATGATCGCCCAATCTTGGGTAATCTACCCACCACAGAGGTGTCCACTTATCCTGGTAGTATTTCTACCTTTCCCCTCGTCTTCGCAAAATTGCCGAATCCCGTACAGCAAATGTTTCAGGGTCTTCCTGTCACGGACGGATTTGACTTGTCTCAGTTGATCAACTTTTGCGAGTTTCTGTGCGGATTAGGCACATTCTTACAGTTTTCCAAGTGCCCCCTGTTCAGGTCTTGCAAGTCTTTTATGGATTCAGCAAAGGGGCACTGGCCTCAAAAACGTTTGACACAATACAGTCTGGGGATACTTTCCAAGCTTATCATGAGAGTATGCTTGAGTTTTTATTCCAACACGTGCCATGTTGCCACTGATAAGTTCTGATTATTTGAGAGCCCAAAGGGCCAACGAGCCCCTATCTGCTTATATTACTGACATTAAGGCAATTGCTGCTGTTCTGCGTCAGGATGCGGATGAGGCAGTGGTGGTCAGTAATATCCTCAATGGGTTCCACCCTTAGGAAACAAGTCGGTTAGCTATCTGTGATAAACCTGCCATCTATGCTGAACTAGAGAACATGTGCATATATGCACACAATATTTCGATGAGCGACAAGAGTCAGAGCTCCCGATCGCACAATCCACCCACTCCTATGACTCTTGCCGAGCCTTCTGTGTCTGGTAACCCTACTTCGCAACCTTCCCAAAAGGTGTGTTATAGCTGTAACAAAGTTGGGCACATCCGTCGAGAGTGCCGTGTTAAGTTATCAGCATTACCTAGGCAGCCGCCTTTATCCCAAGGTCGACGTAATTGACTAGAAGTTAACGCAAAGTCCTCTAGTTCCCACGTGCCTTTTGCCATTCCCATGGGTGATACTCATATGGTTTCCACCTTGCAGAATCAGAGTATATGGGGTGTTTCTGAGTATCATTTACCCTGTCTTCAAGAGGAATTGGGTTTCGGGCCAGTGCACACGCTCTTAGACTCGGGCTGTGCATTCATTAATATTGGTTACCGTTTATGAGAACATTAAGAAGAAATTCCCCACTATACCCACTTATCCCATCAGTGTGAGATGTGTCACTGTGTCTGTGCACACCTTTCCGGTGCACATTCGGGTTAAATGCAAGGTTAGGATTGATAGGTATAGGTGGGAGTTTCCTTTCTACGTGGTCCCGGATTTGATTCAACCAGTTATTTTAGGGGCCAATTTCTTGGGCAAAGTTGGCTTGATAACTGATATACAGGAAGGGTTTGCCTTCTGTAAATTCAACCCCACCAATAGAATGAC